GAATGGATACTTATTCCTAATCTGTTCCATTTATTCGTTTATTTTGTTTGCTACATTTATAAGACGCTTTGTGTTCCTCATTCTTATTTTATGACGTAACATGCAATCAACGCGTAGCAATTATGTGATATAAAAAACTTAGTAATTAAATGTGCAATTATTTTTACTGTGTTATGCTTTTATGGATATTTTTATGCTTGATGTTGAAATAATCCGTCCATTCGAAATAATTCTGAAAGACGGGGTTTTTTCATTTTCTACAAAACGCGAATCAATTACAGCATGCTTTATATAAAACATTTGTAGGACAGATATAACAATAGTGGATAATTTTATATGATAATACAAATAAGTCTCGGAATAAATCTTTTCAAAACTGGAACTGATCCTTATATTTTTCGCAGATTATATAAAATAATATTCTTTGTACTTTTCTTTGCCAAAGTTTCGAACATGGTATAATAAAAAAATGATAAACATGATGAGGTAAACATGTTATGTAATAATAAATAAATCATAAAAATGATTCACATAAAATTGATTGAAAATTCACGAATACTTTTTGCTTTATTCGCAGTGATAATTCTGGAGTCTGAGTATTGCATGATAAAATCAAAATCTGATTTGTATTTTGTTTACACATTTCACTTCCATTCAAATTTAATTTAAGGTAGAAATATTCTTCTAGTCAGAAAATTAGATAATAATTTGTGTTGTTGTTGTTTCATTAAACGTTATCCTGCTACAAAATTTAAAATTCATATTAAACGCTATTAAGAATTTAAGATACGTATTTGTCTTACATTTGATTTACTTTTATACTACGCTATATGTTTATTTATTTTACTCTTTTATTTAAAATTTACCATTAACGCTTAATATGAAATGAAGGAATGAATAAAACAAATCTTTTTAGCCACACAAAACCATATGAAGTTTTACTCTTTTGCGTATCATCCAATGGTGAACTCTATGTAAACGTAAGCGACTTGTCGCTGAGGTACAAAAGAACTTGCGAAGGGTGTAAAAGACCCTTTATTTAAAACTAATAAGATGAGTAGAAGCCAACAATGGTGTTAGATGTTACAACTCCGTCAACATTTATGACGAGAAACTTAAAAGCAATAGATCAAATGTAAAGCTTAAATACTCGTATAAATAAACTAATAGTAAAAGGGTACATAGAGCAATTTAACGCGAAGTTGGCTCATAACTTCACCGGCGTGAATTTCAACTATCGGCAATTATAATGCAAGTCCGAAGACAGAACCTCTTATCTAGAAAAGCAAATGTCGTAACGCGGAACTCACTAAAAATACGCGATATAATTTTATAAATATACGCGATATAATTTTCATTCTGGCGCGAAAACGGAAAGAGAGAAGTGGCAGTAGGGATTCAAAACATAAAATAACTGGTTATTCAAGTTAACGGTACATCTCAACGTTACAAAAGTTTTCGACATAGTTGTCTTTCTCTATAATATGCCTAAACATATGCATGCCCTCCAAAATTAAGAATTACAAAAGACCCACTTGAAATTTTGATTTCAAATGAATTGATGAAAGACAGAAATTTAAAATCAAACTTAAATTTCCTTTTGAAATACATATTTTTATCACAGAAATTTCAGCACCATGAAACAGAAGGCACTAGATGAGGAAATTCTCAAAACTGATAGGGTTTTAAGAATGTGCGAAAAGATCCAAAATGGGCATGACAATAAATAAAGCAATACGATTTTTTCAAAAGGAGACGTGCTCTCAGTTAGCATTAATATGTGATGCCATGCTTCACTCTTAGTTTGGAACTGAGGACTCGATGTGCCAGGATCTTAAACATATTCTAATGATGACAAGTCTGAAAGCTCTGATAGAACTGAAACTTTGCCCATGAATGTGATGTCGTGACAAGACATCACATCTATGGACAGTTCGCAATAGTATTAGCAATATGTTCTTTAATTTTGCCCTGCTAAGAAGATAAATCGGGAACAGTTTGCACCACAGGGTTACTACTGGGTGTATAATTAAATAAACGTATCTATATATCTAAGTTGCCTCTAAATTCTTCGAAATGGGAACAACAGGAACTAATCTAACATGTGTCATTAGAGCGACTAATGCAGTTATTGTTACGTACTAATTGCTCAGCTTAGCGTGTTGGTAGCGGGCTAATAGAAATTAACCTGAGACCAATATGCTATCTGAGCAACTAGCCTGATGCAAAGAATGGTGGCAATAGGAATGGAAAAGCATTGTATTTAACAATGAATTTGACATTTATCTTTATCATGACGATGACTAGAATGTGGTATGTAGACAACGCTTACTTGTACTACTAACAGAGTTTCATAAAAGATCTCAACTGAAGCCAAACTTCGGCACAGTGTTACTGTGTAATATCATGAGCAGTAAACGGAATTCTCTTCTATTTCTTGCATTTTTATAACTCAGTGGTATGCTGTGACAATGCCAACAGTTTTCCATGGAGCATCAGTTTGGTGTACCACATTAAATGCGCTTAAAGTCAGAAATATTGTCAGTCTACAAAGACGGATAGTCCTCTTAATTACCATAGCATTCATGACTGCGTCGACAAACGCAATACTTAGTCTTGTGTGCCTCAAACCACTATATTTGGTACCTCAAAAACGGGGATTAGCAGTAAAAGTGTTAAGAATAGGCGTCACCACATATGATGCCTTATATCTGCGCACTGATTGTAAGAAGAGAGGACCATCGGGAAAAATCCATCTTGCAAAATGGTATAACCACAAGGACGTTATTAGCGATATCGCAGAAGAGATAGCAGAGCATGAAATATATGCCGTGAGGATCGTGTTCCTTATGCACGAGTTGGGTAATAACTATATTTTTCTATGGTCAACCAGACTGAACATCCTTAATTTCAGAAAGAATTATTTACAGTTCTTAAAGCAGTAAAGGGATCTCGGGAGGCCTCTCATTGAAAATTATAGAAGCGTAATACGCACAGACAGCATGTCTAGTGCGCCTTTTAAAATGAACTGGTACATGCTATCAAGTAACTACTCCTCAGTAAGGATGGTTCTCTCACCCTGCAATAGATCAAAGATGACGCAGGAAATGAGAGAAATGAGAATGCGGATATGTTGGCAAAGGCAGCTGAAACCTACACGTTCCTGGTTACGAGACATATTCTCAGGCTGAAGTCAATATTGAAAAGAAAACTCAATATAAATGGAGATAACAACGGAGCACATCACCGATGACTATTTTCCATCAATTGGTTCAGCCGTAAAATCAGAAAACTCCATGCTGATTCAGCTGACCAGCTATCTATATAGGCTCATACATAGGGGCTCGCACCAGTTCGGCTATGACAAAATAAGCAATTTGAGACTTTATTTACATGAATACACTCTAAGAAAGGACGTGCAACTTTTAGAACCCTTTGAAAATAATCTTCAGACCTGGAGAGCTCCACTAGTGGGAAAATAAAAAGAAGGTCTGAAGAATGCTCTCAGTATTATATATAAGCATACATTAACGCTAATGCTGATGTAATTTTGCCCTTTCTCAAAGCACGTGACTTAAACTGTCTTTTGCGAAGAACATAGCTCAGTCTCATGTAACATTTAATCTTTATTGTATTTCTTATTTATCTATATTTTTAAATCATTAGCATATTCATCTTTACTCTGTAACTCGCATACATTTTTCACGTTATTTAAACCATAATCTTGTAAATGGTTTGTAAATATTTTTGTGAAATGTTATTTTGATACTTGCATGTATCAGTAAAATGTTCCTATGATATCTGGCGCAGTATATGTTTCTATGAAACTGATATAAACAAATCCTATAATCTAAAGTAACAACTTTTAAGCTTATGACGTATACTGTTCACTTGTAGAAACATGGGATTCGAATGTATTTCCTTTAAGGACTTTGTATGTCCATGTAATTTAACAACATTTGTTTAAATTATGTCACTTGCCCATTCTGTGTTGTGTACATTGATGGTAGATTTCCTCCTCCATAGGACACTCAATCACAGCTTAAACATAATAGGAAGTCCTCATGGGATTGTAGAGATAGAAGCAGATAGCGTATGATGATTTCCCTCTAGAACTGACAAAGATAATTTTCTAGGCTTCATCCTTCAGAAGGATAATAACTCACCACAAGTTTCTCGAATTTACTGTAAATAGCCTGTATAGACTCAATATTTTGCCATACTCTTTTCCAGACTTTCGATCAATTCGACATATTTACGTTTTCTCTGCAACTGTTTCACTGTCATTCCAAAAAGTGGATGTAATTTTTTTGCAACAGCAATAGGAGACGGAAACTGCCGATTTAATATTTTGGATGTAATAAGGTATAACTTTTCAGAAAAAGCATTGATTACCTCATGAATAGTACGCCATGACAGGTATTGATGGCTTGTATTGATTCGTGCACCTATTATTAAATAAATGATGCTGATTTCTATACTTTCTGTTCAATTTTCGATTATTTTTATATCTCCAGAAACTTTGCTATTCCTGCGAATTTTCATTTTACTTTCATTGGCAGTGGAAAGTGATAGTATTTTTAAACAATTTACGACAGCTTATTGCCTTTCTAACAATTGGCTCAGAATTATCGTAAATAAAACAGTGCGTTTACGTTATTTAAACTCACATTGGTTTTACTTATTAGGCTTTAAATTTCTTTCATAAATATGAATTTAGAAAATTATTATAAGTGTTTATAAACGAACAATTTTAACTCGTTTAAAATTCAATTAAAATCACTAAAATGCAATTAGTAGAATTCTATTTTAAAGCGGATGGTAATTTTAAGAATGAAATCTTATTTCAAAGTAAAGAAAACGCATGTATATACAAATCTTCACTTTAAGTACCTTTTTATTTGAAAGCTATATAATAAAGGTTTAATTTTTCAGTTATGAGCACGAATTCTTCATTTCAAAATTTCATTCTTTTGAATAGCTCTATCTGCATTACTTACCTGGTCTGGGGGCTAAGTAATTGGCTGGATATGTCTTTGAGCCAGAACCGAACTTGTTTTCTCCATCTACTAATAGATCCTCTGCTCTCAACGTCACCCCTATTTGAAAAACAAAGTTCATGTATAGTTCATGTATATGTAAAGTAAATACTTAGCATTAGATTTTCGCTAAAAATATTTTGAGCAATTCTCATACTTTAAATTCTGATAAATTAAAAGATAACATGAATTTACCTTGCCTGTAGGATGACGTTCCTTTGTCCTAAAGGTAAAAGAAGGAAAGTTCATTAAATGTACTTAGAGTCTTTTTAATACTTAAGTAATTTGAGTCTGAAAATATTAATTGAATTATTCGTTAAATTTACACATCGTATTGGGCAGTAAAAAGTATCCGTTCCTTTCTTAGGTATGTACTGTATGAACCTCATCCATTCGAATTTGAATCTGAAAGCGATGAACATAAAAATCTATTTTCTTTTCTTTTAAATTACGGATTTCTGCACATTTGTTGGTGAGCAAATAAACCAGAAGTATTGCGTCATTCATAATACTCCATATTCCTGCAGTCAATATTGCTAATTTTGTCGAAGTTCTTTATTAACTATTTTAAAAGCATAAATGTTACGGGACTTCAGCCAATTTAAAAAACATACAGTTTATAACGTTGCGCGCCTCCAACTTGCACGCAACCAAGAGGTGACTGTGAAAGCTGTATAAAACACAGAGTCTTGTAAAGGGTTTAAGTCCCTTTTTATTCAACGTAATAAATTACAATTGCGTCCTCTTGACGCTTACAGACGGTGCCAACTCGGCAGTCAAATAAAAATAATAACCTGAAAAGAAACTAAAGACAAGACTCTAACTACGAGGCTCTCTAAAATAACTAACTCACCGCGTTTTACAATACCGCTGCTAATTCAGCAGACTTGAAGCTCACTGGAACGATTACCACTACTTCCCGCCAAGCACATAGGCCGAAACGCGGGGTCCTTCAAATTCTCGCTAACTACCTCCGCGCTCGTGCAGTAAGAATCTCACACACCGAACTTGTTTCCTTCTATTTAAATCATAATACTTCCGCTGATAATTTGAATCCTTGCGCGTTTTACTAAAATTTACATATTCTGGCATTGGCAGTTCCAGGGGAAAGTAAGGCTTGACAGGAAAGATAGTTTAAACTTAAAATAAATGTTAGTTAAAATAAATATAAACCCTACAAGTTAAAAGATATACCAAACTTAGCAATATTAATACTTCGGAACTGTACACAGTTTAAATATCGTAATATAATCTTTATAACAGATTTTTGTTTCTTAATAAAAGGCAACAGTGTTATTTAATGAAGTTCGTATAAACTCCACAAGTTATTTACCTTCATAAAAGTTATTAATTTTTGCAAAGTTTCTAAACCGTAAGCAAAAGAGATTTGACATCAGAGTAGAGTAGGATTTACAACAGCAAAGAAGAACTCATCCCGCTGACTGTTCGGAAAAGAGTTCTGCGCCATCGAAAAGTTTTCATTCGATGTTAATGAATAGACTGTTTCAGATACAGAAACTCTCAGTTAATGGAAATCAAATGTGGAGCTGGTTTTAATTTGTAGAGATAGTAAATGGTCAGAATAACTATCTGTGTTAAGATTAGTTTTCACTCGGCCATTAGTAAGTACAGAAAGATTAAAAATGTAATCTTTCGGGAATTGAAATACAAATCATATCCAAAACTAGATTGTATCAAAAACTCGTGTACTGGGAATGTTATTAATAATTAAATCTCTCTAAAAGGAAAAAAAATCTGTTTCAGTGAGGTTTTAATGTAGCAAATCAATTAACAGAGAAATGTGAAAAATTATAGCAGGACGTTTGGTAATTTTATGAATTTCTATGCAAATTTTTTGACCACAATTAATAAAAGTTATTGCATTCCCATCGGCAAGATGTCATTATGAAAATGGTTAGCGTATAAGGTATTTCTCCCACCTTCTTAGCATGCCTTCGTGGTGTGGTGGTGTGCACGGTGGGTGCGTATTCGAGAGGTCCGCGGTTCGATTCCTCACGAAGGCGTTTCTAAGTTTTCATCTTGCCCGCTTTCACAAAATCCTAATGTCTCTACATTAAGCCCTACAAGCGTGTCCGGGCAGCCAATTGAAAAATCTATAGTTCGGGTCCCAGAGGATTTTCATCTTTGCAGATTTCTATAATAAAGGTTCTTCATTTATAAAATAGAGAAAAGTACTTGCTAAATAAAAATAAATGTAGTCGTGTTGGTGAATGTAGCCGGTCATCATTATTGAGCAGTACCTGGAGATAAGCTATGCCATACGGATAAGCAGAGAGATTTTTGTAAAAATCATTATCACCTGAAGTTGCATATTGTGTTTTTATATTATTGGAACCCCCCTGATTAGCGATATTTTCTGTCATACTGATGGGCGAGTGTTCGAATTCCATAAAAAGCACAGATATTTGTAAGCGTACAGTATCTGTGCGGCACGAGTACTATTGAAATACTAGCTAGCCGAAAGCTCTCTCAAGTAGTTTGGTGTTCGGAAACGAGTGTAGGAGATCCTTTAATCCGTCTCTCGAGTCATTCTCCATTAAAACTGGGTTGGAACTCCACAGTTAGTGTGACAGGGACTATACGTGTGCGACTAATGGTGAAGTTCTAGTGTCCCGCCCGTTTGACCTTATCACTACTGATGTAGAATGATGTCTGTGTAGTCGTCACTTCATGTAGCCCAGAATCAAAATTACTGAATTTTAGACCAGGAGATCCATTCATCCTGGAAGTGATAGCTTTTTATTTCATTTTCATGAAAACTAAGAGTAAGGAAAAAGCGACACGGAAGCAACAATGTATCTTGATTGATCTTCACGAAATCCAAAGCTTGCTTCTCTCACGAATTAGTATGATCACTATACTATCTGTTAACTAGCGGGAAAGACCAGGTGTCCCCATTCATCCCCAGCTGAATATAACTGCTAACCTTTCACAGTGTTGTGAAAATGGCATTTGTATCAGCCTGCTATTGGCGTTACATCATTTGCTTCATTTGCAAATAATGTTATTTCACAGTTTATCACCTTCTAACTTAAAGTTTACTACAAGCAGAAATCACGTATACATATGACTCGTATCCATCTTTTCATCATCAAATTGATTAGTTAATACTTGAAAAGCAATCAAGCTCTATTGCGCATTCTTTTTCATGAGGATTCATCATATTCATCAGCAATTAGTGCACTATAGAAAGTTTTGTCTTTTAATAAAACGCTAAGATTCGAAATAATTGCCATTTGAGCGTTAAAATGGAATAGTGTACCGAAAAGACAGCCTCGCAAGATTCTTTGGAAATGCCGATATTTTCTGATGAAGAATTAGCTATTACAAACAGCAGCACACTTTTGAGTTAAAAATAATCGAGAATTGTTCTTTCTCTGAGAATCCATTAGCTATCTGTTATTAGCTTACACGCAAGCAATCATTAATATTCATCTTTATTTCTTGGCAAAACTAAGGAAATGTCTTTAATTGGTCTACTGAGAATTTATTTTTGAATTATTCTTTGCCGCATTTATGTTTAAGCAATAAACAGAATGTATGTTTATAGGCGAATGTTAGTTACATTAAAAAATCATTTTCAACTGAGAACAGCAATAGATGTTTCTTCTTTCTTCATAATTAACTCAGTTCTTTATATCTTTAGCGAAGTTATGTAATTTTAAAAATGATTTATGTACATGTCTGTTTTTAATAGAAAAAAGTAATTACATGTAATGAACAACGAAACCAACTATACAGCTAAATGCTTTTAAGAACCACGAAATGCTTTCGTACATAAATATTTGTCATACTCCTCCCAGGGAAAGAGCTGGGCAAACAAGATTATCTTTTTTTATTCTGCCTGCAATGAGGATGATCAGTTTTTTTAATTAATTTTCGTTTTTAGGTTGTAATAATTTACTCAGTGACAATTTGCAAGGTTCTCTAGCAGTTAATACGTTTTCTGTCTGTTCTATTTAAGAATATTTTCTTTTAAAACGACAAATTTCATCCCTCCCCAAATACTGTTAACTTTGTATATGAATATCTTGATACTAGAAAGCCTGGCGATCATACGAAATGACCGCTGTTCTAGATATTATAAATTGTAGTTAAAATGATTTGTGCAAAGGTGTCTGCTAATTCAAACTGAATTACCCAGGGCAGGCGGCAAGGACGCCGCTTTGCTTACTGCCCCAAGGGGTTCCCCCTTCTACTTGCTTAATTGCTTAAAGTAGAGTGCAATAAAGGAAACCATTGGCAGTACATTTCTTAAAAGCCACCGCTAGCTCAATAAATAAAGGTGATTTAAATAATAAAATGTTAATTCACATGTCAAAAGATCTCTTTGTGCACAACATTTCTTGTGTAGATGATCTTTACATCATTTTTAAGGTCGCCTTGCAGAGGACCATCCATTATTTTTAACTTTACGTCCGTTCTTTCACGAACTCTTGAACAGGCAACATAAAGTTGACCGTGTTCAAATGCAGGCTCAGGTAAAAAAATGCCAACACGCTTACGCCTATTCCTGGTACAACCGTAGCGCTGCTCAGCCGTTCCCATTAGCGGCACCATATATGAGATGCATGTCAGCTTTCTCCCTGTGCGTAAACTCACCCATCATGCTCGCCATCAGAGTTGCGAATGATTCTCTGATGCATCAGGATCGTGGTTTGTCCGGCTTACTACCACCCTCTACCGATGCATTGCCAGCCAATCACAGCTATTACTGTTCCCTTTTTTGAACATTTATTGTGAATACTGTATTGCTGCAAAGAAGCACTTTACGTTGATTTTGTACGTAAACACACTTTCCTCTCGTGTCGTTTTTTTGCGTTACTGCCTTAACCCGTCACTTTAGAACCTACATTTATACCCTACGTACTTGTTTTAGTATGCTTCACCAACCCTCCAAGTTTGCCCCATGATCTATGAAACACCCTGTATATAATACTACATATAGTAAGAGGTTAGTCTGAAAGGAATAGATCCTTTCAAAATTTTACAGAAATAGGAGTTTCAACAACACGGCAGAAATACTTGCACCGAAGAATATGTCCTGAGGTTTACGCAGATGAGCTACAAATTCTTTATCGGTAACACATTTGGCTACAATTAAATTTTACCTAAACATGTCTCAGAATGTCCATATGAACAGCTATAACAGTTATTATTATGCATTTTTTGGGGGGAACGTCCAAATTTTAGGAAGTGTATTAACAAAACTTTAATCCTTGATGCATTTCTACAAGTAGTCGTTACAACATACTAAGTCACACCCTTTCGGTCGCCAATACCAGAATTCTAAAACGATGCTATGCAAGAGTAACAAAATTCGTTTTTGCATATTCAGGAACACACAAAACATTGTCTACCTCACTAGCGGCCATATAGCTCGACTGACGTCAAAACCTCTCTTATGATGACAAATGACAGATGGAGCTTCGTCATGAAAGAAAACGGAAGATGGAAGTTAGTAAATGACTTCTTTTATAACAGTATTAAATACTTCCGATGAAAGCAAACATTTTTCGATTTAAAAGCATTTAATCTATTGTTTAGGCTAATCTCTATATGAAAATAATCTCAGTAACATCGACAAGGATGGACTGTGCAGTACAAAATGTATCTTCTTATTTAGTTCGCTAGAATAACATTACCAATTAAAAATATTCTTTGCTTAATTTAAAGCAATAAGTTTTATATCATTACGTGTGAAAAAAATAGTAAATATGTTCGAATGAATATGAATTCACTGAATTTGTTCCTATGTCTATCTATATGAATGATATAATTTTGAGATCATTTAGGGACCAGCTATGACACAAAATTTGCTCATTCTGGGAATTAATTGTTTCGATTAAAAATATTTTTATTAAATATTTATTTATTTTTGCAGGAAATATCTATCATATTAAGTTTATCTTAGGGAATTTTACACTTAAAGCAATGGGATGTTAGTTATGTTCCGAAATCATTAATACATAATAATGATGTTGCTACTGGAACGTTTAAGTCTAAAAGAATCATACGAAAGCCCTTTTTTTACATATTCTTGGCCTGCAGTGTTAAGATGGTTAACCACTGCACTGTATTTTAAATTAGAAATTCTTTATTGTAAGGAATTTCTAATTAGAAGTATATGTTTGCGATGAGTCATTAGATGAATAAATTCTTCTTTTCGCACACCATATTATTACCACACCATAAGTATTACATAGCAAATTTACACTTTTGAATATTACATTGAAATGAAATAAGAATATAGTCCTAATAAATATTCTGGAGCTGTTAACTTTTGATAATATACCATTATCATGACGAGTTAGAAAGAATACATATATAACCTTTCAACTGAGTAAAAGCATTAAGCCAGTTTCTTGGTTTTGTCTTTTCGTATTATTTACTAATTTTACGTTTATGGGAATTAATTACGTTTAATTTACGTTCAAATTAGCATAAAGGTCTTTCATCTTTATAAAACCTTCTCTTACAAATTTCCTCCAATAACCTCCATTCTCTTAAATAACCCTCCATAAAAATAACAGTAGTTTTACGTTTATTTTCTGTTTACTGGCGTTTAAGTGGAAGACTAGCTATAAATACAAAGAACCGTTTTTATACGTACCCTACCTTATCATATAAACCATCTAAACGTAAGAAGTATCAATTTAGAATTTTGTCTTCAATTCACTTCGTCAAAACTCTGTATTAGTAGCATAAATAAGGTGCAAAAAAGAAAAAAAAAAAAAAAGAAGATGCGTGACTTATCTGACAGAGGGCCAAACATTTTTTAAAGAGGTATACACTCCTTTATTATGTAGTCTTCTCAATTACATTCCTAGCAGCTGCAAACTACTTTGTAAACTTCCTAGTTTATTTTCTGTTCAGTTTCGCGATCACGCGAGCAGTCTTTGTCCCCGGGAGGTTTCAAGATAAAGGAGATATCTCTTTTGTTACCGTTCATGATGACAACATAGCAAACATATTTTGTCTTTGAGACTTTTCTCCGAGTTTAGCCAGCGCCGCGCCTGCTCCTGATAACTGATAGCGTGCTTGGTAAATAACATCATTGGTTACCATGATCGATCTACCAACAGGCTCCACTCTATTATACTTTCAAGCACCAGAGTTGTTTTCAGTTTTTATATCGACCTGACACTGAAAAAAGAAATAATAAGCATTGCGTAAGGAAAAAAATTGCTTCGACGGTTTCGCATTATTATTGCTTTTAACGTATTGTTCCGTTATTATTTTTTTAAGTTAGTAAAAATACATTTCTACTAGAATGATTGTTTATAGTTATGTTGAAACTGTCCCATTCATGCGAATAATTGAAGAATACGTACATACATTTACTATCCTAGCATCTCTTAGCGTATGAATAAGTTAAAAAAAATTCTTGTAACCAGGATCTCATTTCTCTTAAACGCAATGATAAAAAGGAAATCAGTCACAAAAATCTGACCACTCATGCAAAAACTCAAGACTGAAGAAGCAAAATTATATAAAAAGTAATTTGTTAGTAAAATTTGCGGATTACTCGAGAAAGAAAAAAAAAATTCAGTAGTAGTTATCTAGAAATAAAAGGGATAAAACAATAAAAGTATATCTTTTAAGGTTTTCTGTTGAGTAACCAGTTATTTTAAGCATTCAATGAAAACCTTTACGTGACATTTATTGTTTTGTGGATTTTATATGCTGTCAAACGAGGAAACATTGTCACTTGAGGGAAGTGTTTGTTGTAAGCCTCATGCCCAAACGGTACAATAAAATATATACACAGCTACATCTGCGATAAATAACCATGAGAGAATAATTTACAGAGCAAATTTATACTCTGCCATTTGATTTCGCTATTTTAAATATACGATTCTTTGTACTATATTTTTTTATTTCCGGGAATAAATTAAAATTGGCAATTTCTTAAACTGTAAAGCTTAAAATTGTTTGTGGTGTTAAACTAAAATATGCATATTGTGATCGGATATCAATTTCATTCTAACCTTAAGATTTTTATATTTTGAATTTTTGAATTTTCAGTGTTTAACTCTTCGAGTCGTGACCTGAAGTTTTCAAATTTCTGTTTTTAGTTATTTTAGATTGCTGCTATTATAGCGTTCTCTAATGTCTTCAGATAAATCTGTAAAATGACGTAATTCTTACGTCATGTACAAGTGGATAATGAGATTACTTAATCCTATTGGAGAAATCTGAAGTTTAATTTAATTGCGACTTATACCACTGCCCAGCTTTTTAAACCTGTGAGTTTGTAGAATTACACTAAGATTAGCAGCAATATTTATTTCCTTGGTGAAAGTGATACAGCAGATAACTATGTAACGAATTTGGGAATCCTGTTAATTAGTTGAGAGAACATTTCACAAGATTCAACTCCATGGTTGAATAGATGTGTTTAATTACTCTTTTTTAGCGTCTTTTCGTTTTACTAAGTAAAGTTCTTAGTTGAAATAACACAGGGGGCGATAATTCTCCTCGAATAGTTGTTAGAGGTTTTATATGTAAAAATATTTAATTCAGAAATACTATAACTTTGATACAAATATTTACGTAGAGATTACGTAGAAAATATGAACAATTTTAAATGATATTTTAAAAGTGTTATTCACAATTATTATGTTAGCATCTCGCAGAATTTGTCTTTGAAACTTTTAGTAGCTTGTCTTTTTACCTCAAATTAGGAAAACAAAGCGTATTCATTAAACTTATATCAGTTCATGTATTTTCAAATGTATTAGTTGCATTTAATGTTTTAAGAGCAGCTCACTGAATTGAATGAAATACAATTAACTGTATCCTTGAATTCTTTAGTGCAGAAAAGCAAATAAGTGAGATTCACAGCTATAAAACTGATTTATTTCGAAATTTGCCTAAATTAGATTCTCTGACACGTACCAATGTATAAAAATTCCAGTTAGAATGATATCTATTTCATGGAAAAATATAAGATATTTTCTCAATACTTTCCGCACATCCTTCGTACTGACCTGACTCTACAAGTGGCGCCCGAGCTAAAAGGTGATGTAACCATCAGTATTTGCTGATTGGGTCCCCTAATCCCCAGTCGCCCTTTAAAAGGGAGCGTACACAAGATATCTTCTCTCTCCTTTCTGAATGCCTTCGTAGTATGATTGGAAACATACTCGAAGTGTATTCGAGAGGTCCAAGGTTCTACTCCCGGCGAGGGCACTGATCATTTTTCAACTCTCCTGTTTCAAAAATAACCTAATGACTCTACAATGTATTTAGAAGAAAACTTATAAAAAGTAACCCGATTTTACCAAAGATTATTTATATATATATATATATATATTCTAGAGCGTTTCTAGAGTACTTCGTTTTTCTCTCTCTATTCAAATTCTTACGTTTTATCTTACATTTAGATATATGCTTTAAATTCAGTAGTTTCAAAAGTTTATACTATGTTTAAAAAACTCATCTATGAACAATTTAACAATATATGTTTAGAAATTCTTTTTGCTGTTTTCATAACAGCAAGATGTCTTTCACCTTTCTGTTACTTTTCTTTTTTATAATGTGTTATGATTTACTAAAATTAATTTGTACAGTAAAAATGTTATCTTTCCTGCTTAGATGATAACAGGCAGAGAAAGGCAGAAAATGTTGCTTGACAGTCTTACTTGAGAATCTGGAGACATCCTGCGGCGACCAAAGGACCGGCGGCGCTCTTGGGATCTACAGAAAAAAAAAGAGAAATGTTTCATTTGGCTCATTTCCTTGGCTCAAGAAGAATATCAATAGAATAAGATTATGTTAGCTGTCATAAGCAATGCAACGGAATACAGCGCTACACAGCGCTGTTATGTTGTGTTTATATATTACATTTCTTCTAACATCGTTTGCTAGCATTTCCATTCAAATGCCATTCAATTATATGAAAGCTCATTAAAGGCCACTATTTTCGGAATAAAAAAAAATAATGCTGTGGATAATAAAAAAAGAATGCAAGGACAATACTATGATGCTAATACCTTTTTAAATTTCAAAGGTATTATCAATAATTCCATAAGGTAGAATGCATATTTCTTCATATCTATGTATGTAATTTAAATTGAAATGTTCTTATTATAAAGCATATTTGAAAAGCAAATTTATATTTCATAATTTGCAGCATTTAGTTTATAGTATTTAAAATTTTTGATTTATTGTCATTATAGTTAGAGACTTTGAAAACATAGAAGTACATATAGAGTCCTCTTAAGTTTCTGCACTGAATACTTAGAATCTTGTAATGAATGCTTGTAAATAGTTTAAGTTATTTGACTAAAAAATAAAGATATTGCACACGTTTCAAGAACGGACATTTTTTTCATTTGAAAGAAAAGCACTTGCTTACATCACTACTAGAATTTTAAGAATATTATATTTTACTGAAAGTTAATAATTAAAAAATTCAAAAATACATTTCCTCATTTTCAGTAAATTGAGAGAAGCTAATATATAGAAAAATACAATATCGGTGTTTCATACATATTTCCCTAGTTGCCTTTCAAAACGAAAAAGCAAAATACTATTTATTTCTAAATTATTCAGTTAATGAATTTAGTTACCAATTAACATTTAGAACACCATTGTTAATTTAAAACGGCTTAAAATGAGACATACATTAAATGAAAAAAATTTGTACATAAATTATATTATATGCAGATAACTGTTACTTTTTGTTCGTAAGCGTACCTTTTAACTGCTAATTGAGACGTGTCTAGTTGGAAGAGAAACATATCAATATAAAATTTTAACTTAGACATGATATTATATTTAGACTGGCCAGTTTGTTTGCTTTTTGCCTGATTTTAAATATTCACGATACGTAGTATTGTTCTAGAATAAAATAGTACAGTAGTATTATTAGTATAAATAGAATTATTAGTATAAAAATAGCTTCAAAAGTCCCCAAAGCATAGGTCCCATAACTTAAGAAAAATTAATTTATTTTAGAAACCTAGTTTACTGTAAATGAATTTTGTAACGTTTTCTTCAAAAGCCATTATCAGCAGCAACATATTTACCCCAACGACGATAAAGCTTTTAAAAGCAGTTTATAAACATTTTATTTAATAATCTTTTTAAATTTTGACAGCTGTGGAAATGATATTACTCTAAATCTTATCGTGCAATTTACATTTCAAATCGTAATCCATTGGTGGATTCCTGCCAGTAATGCATGATATGGATTCCTGTTATAATAAATATATGAATATTGTTTTAAAATTAATTTGTGACGTAATGTTTGACACAGAAAATCTGAAAATATTAGTAATTTTATTTAATGCAACATCAATGCCTGTATGCTGTAAGTTGTAATTGCGCTATAAATTAAAATTTACATCCAAGTTGACTATCCTGTATAGAAATTAAATACAAAACTATGAAGGTGGATTATGGTACAAGGTTTCGTAATATTGTTGCGTTCGTACGGGTTCGTAATAGATTGAATGCCCACAGCTCTGATGATAGGTTGATAAATTTATTTTTATCAAAAGGAACACTTCAGAGTTCTGGAACTTTCCACAAAAATAGTCGCACAACTCTTCACAGTATCACAGAATACAATCAGTTGTTACACTTCAAATTACTAAGAACGTTAAACACAGTGTAATCTAATAGAATGAAGCGCATTAAAGCGCATCTAAAGAACGAATCTAGCCGGGAGATACTTCAGTACTCCGAACTCACGCTGAACAGCAAATTCTCTCACGATCTTATAAAGTTTCCACACGGCCGCGGACATATTTCTAGTACATTCTGCTTCTCAAAATTATTGGAAAGCCTATGAGGGCCGAATTACGGTTACAGCTGCATAGATCATCAATTATAGTTATTAAATTACAATATCCGTTACGGTTATACAGGGACCGGGCCAAAATCTCGTCAGATCTGGCGAGCCAGATCTCAATTTATCGCCAATTTTGCAACAAAAAGTAGTCGCTAAAACCGTTGCCAGCTTGGCGATATCTCGCCAAATGAGCGATATAGCAATAGACCTTGCCCCTGGATTCGTACTTTTCCGGCATAGCATCGTATCTCTAGATTTTTCATGTTACATTTGTACAGGAAAGTGCAACGGTGTCACATATAATTGCAAAAATCATCTATTTATGTACAAAATTCGCAACAATATTTATCGAAATTTATACTGCGACTTTAAAATGCCTAAACTTGTGCTCACTATGGCCACAGGAAGATTTTGATCATCATTACTTAATTGCATGAAACAGGTAGAATTGTTTAATTCTTTTTTATTGCTCTAAAAGTTGTATATGCATATTTTTTTTCCTTCTTTACAACTAGATAAGTAAAGCTAAGAGATTTTTATATCACAAATGCGTCACTGATTTCAAAACAACACGTTCGTAATGAACTGCAAAAACCAGTTCAAAATTATGATAGAACAAAATTTATTAATGAACACATTTTTCACCTTCTCTCTCAATTTTCCTTTGGCGAATTAATTCCTCCACTAGAATGTTCGACATTCGTGGATTAAATTTTCGGCTTTCGTGTTTATAAAATCTCAGGTTCAAATGCTAATATGCCCTTTTGTGGCCCTTAGAGTTTTGCGTAACATTCAATCAATACTGGTAAACATTTCACACGTTATTGGAGAAGGCAAACAACAAGATTTAGCGTAATATTTGTAAATGTTTCAGGACTATTTTCAATAGCTTAACTACAGAACCATCCTCTTCAGCTGCCTAAGTGCGAACGAAGGAGCTACGGAACGAGAAAAAAGATGGTTCTGTAGTTAAAGCATCGAAACTAGTCGTGCAAAATACACAGATGTAACCCCTATTCTTGTTGTTGGACTTCTCCAATACTTATTATTCGGCCTGTTATTTTAAACTAATTTTTACACGTTACCAATAATTAATATAAAGGTAAATAAAGCAACAATAAACAAATTCTTTTCGGTTTTAGTTTTAAAAACTATGTTTGTACATTTCTATGTTTGTAAATTCATGTTTACAAAAATGCATAAGCAATGTAAAAAACTTGTATTTATTACTAAGCTAGATACTTTCCACTAATATTCTTATCTACAACTTTTAAACATTTCATATTGAAATATCTGCCTTTATTGTTAATTAGCTAACGATAGTGGAGTTTAATATTACAATATTACTGCTTAGTCTAGAGAAATGAGACATCGTTCATGAAATCAGCCAGGAATAAACTGAGTAAATGCTTTAGCTGGTCTACTAATATTACATGGAAGAAGGGAAACAACTTTAATTTGTATTTCCTTTAAGAACCATTTCGCAAAACCAAAATGTCTCCTAATAGCGGTAGTATCCTAGTTACTGATCACTGAGTAGTTCAAAATCAAGTATCTCACCAAAATTAAACATTAAAAAAATTCTTTATTATACAAAAATGCATATATGTATGTTGCTGTAATAAGGAATTTCCAGGTCGTTCTTTTTTTTAGTCCAAAGGGGCTTTCTTCCCGAAGGACTATTGTTTTCGTTTTGCGATTTTGCGTTGAATCACTATAAATGTCGGTTTCACTTTTCAAACTGTTGCCACCAAATGTTAGAGTCCTGCATTATATTTGAAGAAATTAAATAATGAAAAATCTGCATCAATGTATTGTCTATTTCTCGCATGGTGATAAAACAACGGTACCATAGAGTCATCGAATTTTGAATGACGTAATCCTCCTACGAATATGGGCATGTGGAAGATCAAATTTAAAATTTGGAATTTGATTTAATTATCGATTTCATATTTTGCTTAACGAATTTTTGAAATAACGAATTTGAACTCAACGATTTAAAAGCGAGCAATGGCAACACTCTCCGACGGGGGAAAAATCCTTTTTATCTCCAGTGGACGCGGAACTGTATCGGAAATTCTAAAGGATAAGCTCATTTTAAAATTATTTTGCGACATTGCTACTGTACTGAATTTTATGGTTTAAGTGCAAAGAACATGATATTTAATAAATAAAGGTAACACACAAAACGTTAAAAAAAGCCCTTTGGGACGTAATTTAAAATCTGAAACCTTTCAGATTTTTTAGTTTGATTTTTTTTTTTTTTTGCTTCGGCTAGAAGAACCTTAGCGTTTATATCCCTGCAATTTGAGTTTCGATATTCTTGAAACATGCTCAAACGTAGAATTCATTCTATCTTGTAATTAAACGAGTACAAGTCTACTTGTACTTAGTATGACTTGTAAATGTGTTTTCTCTGCATATTTAGTACAACTGCTAAGAAAACAGATTTACAGTTCTAGAAATCAGTAACTCGGTATTTTAAGTATCTCGACATTTTTCAATTTTTCGAAAAAGAAATATTATTCTTTAATTTACAGATTTATGTATAAGGCTAGATTAGATTACTCGAATATGGCAAAGCGTACGAGAGCTCTTCCTAATTCAAGGGACGAATTTGGAAGATTTTCTAAGGGAAACCAGCTAGTATCCACCTTACACGTGGGGAAAATCACAAAAACCAGCCAGCCGCCTACCTGGAATCGAATTCAGATCAGACTCCGTCATTCACCATTATATTGATTATTCGAGCTTTTTTTCTTGAAATAAAAATCTTTAAAAATGCGAGAGTTCTGAGCGTTAAATTCTGAGTGACAGTCAGGTATTTATTATAACAAAATATCAATTCTTATAACCTTTCTGCTTTAGGCAGATTTAAATACTAATTTTGAAAATACTA